AGGGTTTTGTTGGAGCCAGCATTGTGGCAGAGCGGGTAAAGCCGCTGCCTGAGCTGCTGGCATCCCATATGGGCGCTGGTTCAAGTCCCAGCTGCTCCAGTTCCAATCCATCCCCCTGCTAACGTGCCTGGGCAAGCAGTGGAAGAACGCCCAAGTGCCATCTTATGGGGGACCCAGAAGAAGCTCCTGGCTCCTGGCTTCGGATCAGCCCAGCTCCAGCCATTGTGGCCATTTGGAGCGTGAACCACTAGATGGAAGCTCTCTGTCTCTGTCTCTCCTCTCTCTCTCTTTCTCTCCCCTCTCTCTCTCTCTGTAACTCTGCCTTTCAAATAAATATTTTTTTTAAAAAAGGGGTTTGTTGTCGTTGTTAATTGTGGTGAAACGCACATAACAGAAAATGCACCGTCTTCACCATTTCCAAGTGCACAGTTCGGTGGCGTTAAGATTCCTTCACGGTGTGGTACAACCATCCCCCCATCCGCCTCCGGAACACCATTCAGGCTGCAGAGCTGCCACTCTGTGCCCACTGAACGCTGGCTGCTCGTTCCGGCCTCCCTGGCCGCTGTCTGGGAACCTGGCAGCGGCAGGCGCCTCACGCCGGGGCACTCACACGGCACTTGGGCTCTTGTGCCTGGCTCGCGTCCCTTCGCACGTCGTCCTAGGCTTCACCCACTTTGCGGCATGTGTCCCAACTCCCTTCCTTCCTAAGGCGAAGGCTGCTTCCTCGTGTGGACAGACCACACTTACAGACCACACTTTGCTCATTGCTTCATCTGTTGCCATCATGAAGAGCGCTGCAGTGGGCACTGGTGTGCAAATATCTCTTAGAAGGGCCAGCATTGTGGTGTAGTGGGCTAAGCCTCCACCTGCAGCGCTGGCATCCCATATGGGCACTGGTTCAAGTCCCGGCTGCTCCACTTCCAATCCAGCTCTCTGCTATGACCTGGGAAAGCAGTGGAAGATGGTCCATGGCCTTGGGCCCCTGCACCCGCATGCGAGACGTGGGAGAAGCTCCTGGATCCTGGCTTCAGATCAATCCAGCCTGGCAATTGTGGGCATTTGGGGAGTGAACCAGAGGATGGAAGTGCGCTCGCTCTCTCTCTCTCTCTCTCTCTCTCCCTCTCTTTCTCCCTCTCTGTTACTCTCTCTCTCTCTCAAATAAATAAATAAATCCTTAAAAAAATCTTTGAGACTCGGTGTCTAGCTCTCCTGCGGACAGCTCCGGCGGTGGAATGGCTAGGTCGTAGGGTCATTTGGTGTTTAATTTTTTGAAGGGCTACCCATTGTGTTCCCAAGCAGCCGCACCATTCCACACTCCCACCAGCAGTGTCTGAGTGTTCGGATTTCTCCACGCTGTCTCCAACACTTGATGCCCTCCGTTCCTGGGGCAGTCTGTTGTTCTGTAAACACAGGAAGTTCATGTAGAGGGGCCAGTGCTGTGGCACAGTGGGCTAAGCATCTGCCTGCAGCATCGGCATCCCATATGGGCGCTGGTTCGAGTCCCAGTTGCTCCCTTTCCAATCCAGCTCTCCGCTGTGGCCTGGGAAAGCAGTAAAAGATAGCCCACGTCCTTGGGCCCCTGTACCCATGTGGGAGACCCAGTAGAAGCTCCTGGCTCCAGCTGTGGTGGCCATTTGGAGAGTAATCCACTGGATGGAAGACCTCTCTCTCTGCCTCTCCCTCTGTCTATAACTCTACCTCTCAAATAAATTGTCTTTGGGGAAAAAGAAAAAAAAAGTTGTTCATGTAGAACAAGACAGAGCTAGGAGACAGGAGGTTTGTGCCGGCGGAGAGAAGGTGAGAGCTGCTGTCCTTGGGTCAGCAGAGACCCTAAGATCCTGGGTGGAGCAATTGCCCTTGGCGATTGTCACAGAGAAGCCAGGGACATGGGCACAGCTGCAGGTGGCAGGGGAGATGCGGTGGCCGAAGCCTGAGCCCTTCTCCGGCGTTTGGTTTCTTCTCTCAGTGAAGTGGGCAGTCAGGTAAGAAGCTACGTCCAGGGTAGGATGAAGCCAGGGGCTCCGGGAGAGAAGGGAGTGTGTGGACTCCAGAGAGGAGGGTGAGAGTGAGTGGTCAGGCAGGGTGGGGGAGGGGCTGGTAATGGATGGAGCCCACAGAGGAATCAAGTTCAAATTCCCAGAAACCAGTGAAAACCAGAGTGCTTCACAAAGCTGGTGAAAAAACGGGATGCCAGTGCTCAACATACTATGTAACAGCGCCAGCTCATACACACACACACTCACACACACTCACACACACAATTGAAATCCTTGCATATGACAGGTCTTCAAAAAGTTCACGGAAAACGGGCATTATGAAAACTCTGCATAGACTGCAAACTCTCTCCACGGGTATAAACTCGCCTCTCCGTTCCATTTTCCCATGGACTTCTGAACGTCTGAACTCCACTCGTGTGCTGCCTGGAGAGACCCTGGGGTGGGGAAGGCACCCTGGACTCTCAGGGAGGGGTGGGCCTAATGTCACCACACCTGTCCTCATTGGGGGGGGGGCAGAGGGGCAGGGGCTGCAAGTTCAAGGCTGGGACCTCGTCTTTTGTTTTTAAGATTTTTCTTTTTGTAATTTGAAAAGCAGAGTGACAGAGAGAGAAGGAGCTCCTCTACCTACTGGTTCACTCTTTAACTGGTGAGGGCTGGTCAGGGCTGGATCAGGCCAAAGCCAGGAGCCAGGAACCGCATCCAGGTCTCCCACGTGTGCACAGGTTCCCAAAGGACTTGGGCCGTCCTCTGCTGCTTTCCCAGGCACATTATCAGGGAGCTGGATCAGGAGCAGAGTAACCAGGGCTCAAACTGGCGCCCCTATGGGATGCTGGCATCGCAGACGGAGGCTTGACCTGCTGCACCACAATGCCAGCCCCAGGCCACACCTTACTGTCAGACTCCCGACACCCCAGACTGAAAGAGGATGCATTAGTGTTGTTTCAAGCACGCGCAGGGTGTTACAGAAGCCACCAGAAACCAACGAGGGGGACACACTGTCAGTGCTGGGCAGCCCCAAGGACCTCTGCAGAGTTAAGTAACCAGGAAATCCAGCGAGGCCAGCTGGCATTGTTGAGTGCACAGGTACAGCGCAGATCGCACGCACAGTGTGCCACACTCAACCACGGCAAGGAGAGAGATCAGGGAGCAGCAGGTATACAGAAGCCAGAACATAAACGCCTGACCATAGCGCTTCCCCCAGGTGAGATGGGAGAGGTAGGATCAATGGGCCGCAGGGAGCAGCGAGGGAGGCGGGCAGGAGGCAGTAGCTGGGCAGCTTGGAGCTGAGACTTTGGGGAGTTTATCTGTTAACGCCAAGATCTAGGGCATTAGGTTGCAAGCAACATCCCACGGCCAGTTCCACCTGCTACACGCTGGCGTGAGGTGTTGCTGGGATGCAGCCAGCCTGTCGTGTCGTGTCATGCCCAGCCGTTGTCACACTACAAAAACAGAGTCGAGCAGCTGTGGGGGTGCGAGGGTCTGAGTGTGTCCTCAAGTTTCCTGCGTCGGTACCTTAACACCCAAAGTCCGCTGTTCATGGCGCTTGGGAAGTGGGATCTCCAGCCCTCAGGAGTGGGAGAGTCCTGGCTAATGGGCTAGGGTGACCGTGGGAGCGGCTCTGTAGTAGGAGCAGGCTCTCTGGCATGCGCGTCTGGCGTATCCGCTGAGAGCCCCATGTCCCCTATAGCAGTGATGGGTTCAAGTCCCAGCTCCACTCCCAGTTCCAGTTTCCTGCCCATGCACAGCCTGGGAGGCCGCAGCAGGGGGTGGTTCCAGCAGCTGGGCCCTGCCACCCACGGGGGAGCCCAGCTCACAGCTGTGGCCTCAGCGCAGCGCAGTCCTGGCTGTTGCGGTATATGGGGAGTGAACCAGCAGGCGGGAGAAATCTGTCTGCCTAAACCGGTAGATACTATTTCTTACAGCGAGCTGTCCCTGGCTTGCGTGCCCTTAGTCTCTGGGATGCCCTGCCCACCTTGGGCCTCGACAGAGTGCCCCTCCCTGAAGAAGCGCCCACTAGACGCGGCCCCTGGACCTGTGGCTGACTGCCCAGCAGCCAGCGCTGTCGGAAATACAGTTTTCTTTACAAATTACCCCAGTCTGTGATCAGTCACGGCAATGGAAAACAGGCTGAGACAGAAGCGGTATGACTGGTCAGATCTAAAACATTTACTCCCTGGCTTTTTTCAAACATTAGTTCCCCAAGCCCTGGTTTGGGGCGTGAGTGAGTGGCTAAGCGGCAGGGAGTGGGGGGCATGGGCATCAGCCCAGGGCCCAGAGGCTGGGGGTTCCATCACTCCCGGACCCTGAAATTATTAAGAATGAAGCCTGCCACACCGAGGGAGTGACAGCGAGCCAGGAAGGACAGCAGGCGAGGGGGCGCTCATCAAAGGTGTGGGGAGCAACTCGGACTAGACTAAGTTACTGGAATTAAGACTTATTCTATGCATCTGCTCTCCCACAATATGGCGCTGGGAGAGGAGTAAACAGCTTCTACACAGCTGCCTCCAGTTCGACCAGTAACCTGCAGGAGCTGATCCTGCTCCTGATTGGAGGAGAGCAGCGTACTCGGCGTGTGGGCAGCCGAGTTGGGATTGGTGGAAGAGGACTATAAAGGAGGAGAGCGACACCATGCACCAGGAACATCTATCTGAAGGAACACCTGTGCAGCCGGCCGGCGGTATGCCGCTCCCCCGCGGAAGTGGGGAAAGGGGCAGGGGGAGCCGCCCTTCCACGGAGGTGGAAGGGTCGGTAGCCAACCCGGGAAGAACCAGCAGCAAACCCAGGGAGGGCCGAGCAGACGAAAGAACAGCGCAGGGTCCTGTGTCGTTCCTCTGCGAAGAGGGGGAGCAACAAAAGGCAGCTGCAGTTGGGGGTCCTCGAGGGCCCCACAGAGCACAGCCCCGCCAGACTGCACTGGCTGTGACCCCATCTTCCCCGCACACTGGTGGCAGGTAGGCAGGCAGGACCCTGGGCAGACCCCAGGCAGCTCCAGGGATCCACACGTAAAACAAACAAAAGGTTTATTGATAAGCAGGAGTGATGTCCAGCATGCAGTGCAAACTCTCATTGTCTTGGATTCAACCCAAGCCTGGTAAACACTCCCAGAGGAGCCTCCTTCCAATTCAGGGCCGCCCGGCTCTGCTCAGCCACGCGGAGGAAGCCCGAGGCCCTCCCAGGACTGTCCACCAGGGGGCAGACGAGCTCCACCGCCAAGCAGAGCCCAGGGTGGGAAGAGGCCAAGCCGGGCAGAGACCAGGCCAGTGGGCTCTGACATCTTGATTCCAGGGTGGAAAACCCTCCTTGTCTCCATGGTAATGGCTTGGCTCTCCCACTTCCCATGGTTCAGCTGCCAAGTTCAAGTCCAGTAGAATTTGTCAACAAGGGACCTACGTACCTGAGATGGAGCTGGCCCCAAAGTCCTTTCCCTCCAGAACCTGGTCAAGGCCATTGGCAGGGCCCACATTTGCTGGTGGGGAGGGGCCGTGACTTTGGTGAGGAAGACTCCTTTGGCTAAACCATTGGCTTCAGCTGCTCCAGGACACAGCTGCGGGGCCGACTTGCAGCCCCTGGCATCCACCCGGGATCGTGGGGGGGGGGGGGCGCACCCCATAGAGGCAGGAGGAAGTTACAAGCTGAGGTAGGTGGGGAGAGATGGCCGCCCCCCTCCCAGCTCTCCAGTTCCTGGAATTCCTTGCTAGGAGCAGGTGAGGTCTTGGAAGGGCTCACAGGGCAGCCAGGGAGGAGGGGCTGGAGCCGGGGGTGCGCGGGGGTGAAGGCCAAAGGCAGAGGACGCAGACGGGGGCGAGGCGCTGGCGTGGGCAGCTCGGGTACCGCAGGGCACTCGCTTCTGCTTTGGTCCTCGCATCGCTACGTGCTAACACTGGAAGACTTCCGGCTGGAGGACGGTGGTTCTCACTCCAAGTGCAGGGGTAGGAGCTGGCAGTGGCGACGTTTGGAGGTGGTGCTTCCCATGGGCTGTCCCCGCGCACGGGAGTGCTGTCCTTTCTCCGCCCCAGCCAGCCCAGGGGGAGGGGAGGACACTCGCACCTCCTGAGGGCCAGGGCCAGGGCAGGGCCAGGAGTGGACAAAAGCCACCGCAGGTCCCAGAAGCCAAGTCTGCAGGTCCAGCTCTGTGCCGGCCACCGAGGGGCAGGGACTCACCCCGGGCTGTCTGTCGCACGCAGCCATGCCCCTTCCCATGGTGGCTCTGACAGGGCCAGCCCACCTCGGCGGTGACACGGCCCACACCGGCCTGGTTAGCTGGGCTTCCTGCCAGCGTCAGGTACGAGGAGCGGCAGGGACTTCTCGGGGCTCTGCAGCAGAGTCTCGGAGGCCCCCAGGTGGGACTGCAGGGGGCGCTCCTCCTGGGAGAAGGGCACCTGCTCGTCCACCGTGGGGCTGGTGTCTGTGTCCTCCCCCGTGGAGCTGGCCTGGGAGGCGCAGGGCGAGCCGTGGTCAGAGCCGCTGTAGACGTTCACGATGCACGTGACATTGACCTGGGTCCCGTGGCCACCGGGCAAGGACTCTGTTGGCACAGGATGGGATGGGGAAATTAATGAGGAGGGGGCCTGGAGGGCAGATGTCTTAGGGTCTGTCTGCTGCCCAGGGGGCAGAGGAAGACAGAGGGACTAGTGGCACAGTGGCTCAGGCCCTCCACTTGAGCATCCCATATCGGAGTGCTGGCTCAAGTCCCAGCTGCCCGGCTTCCAGTTCACTTCCTGCTCATGCGCCTGGGAAGGCAGCAGAAGGTGACTGGAGCCCTTGGGTCCCTGCACCCACATGGGAGACCCGGATGGAGCTCCAGGCTCCTGGCCCAGCCCTGGCTGCTGTGGCCACTTGGGGAGTGACCAGCAGAGGAAAGGTTTGTCTTTCAGTCTCTGTCACTCAAACAAGGAAACAAATCTCTCTTTAAAAAATAAAAAATAAAAAAAAATAAATAAAAAAAAAAAAAAAAAAAAAAAAACCAGACACACGGGAAAGCGCTCCGGGTCAGCAGCAGAAGCAGAGCGGCGGTGGGTGTGTTCTGTGTGACTTGGGCGAGTCACTTCCCCACCTCCCCAGCCCCAGTCATGCCAGGGGTGGGAGGAGCCAATGCCACAGAGCCGGGCGGGAGTCCACGTCACAGCACACTCGCCCCGCACGGGGCTGAGCCGCTTTCCCCGGCTGCCGCAGGGCCTGCCGGTCCCGGCCCCCGGCTGGCAGCGGTCATTGGCACGTTTTCTGCATGGCACGAGTGCCACGAGCAGGGCCACCTCCGGTCTGTGAATTTCAGACGTCAGCCCTGAAGTTGTCTGCACTCTTCCCATGCCCCTTTCCCCGACGGAGAGCTGCCTCTGGTGTCACAAGTCTGGGGCTCCTGCGTGGGGTCTGCGACCCTTTGCCTCATCTCCCAGGCTGGGCTGGGACGCCCGGTGTTTGCAGCCTGACGAGTCCAGCTTTGGTACCCACTCTGCCTCCATCGTCTTGGCCAAGCCACCTAACTTCCCGGAGCCTCAGTGTGCTCAGCTGTAAAATGGGTACAAGGACCCTGCCCATCTCCTTGTAGGCAAAAAGAGCCTTGTCTTGTTCACTGCTCCGGAGACCGGGGACAGGAGCCAGGGCTGAGCGCCAGCTGCTGCTCCCGACCCCCCACGGGGCAGACACCGCAGACCCCACTCCTGACTGCGCCCCTCCTCGCCACGCTCCCCTCACCGCCACCTCCCCCGCTGCTTGGGCCCAGAGCCTGGGGCCCCCTCTCTCTGTCACGTTCCACAACCCATGCATCGGCAATTCTCAATTCCTGTCTAACTTCTAAGGACCGCGCCAACTTCCCATCTGCCCTGCCACAGTCCGAGCAAGCCTCCGCCCATTTCCAGCCTCCGCCCACCCCTCTGCGGTCAGCTCCCCGCCTGCGGCCAGGGCCTGCCCTTTATTTACTTAAATGTTGGAATTAATACGGAGAGAACACATTCTATGCATTCCATAGGTGCAGTTCCAGGAAGAAGACCACCTGCTCTCACCCCCCTGCTCCCAGCAACCCCCTCCCTCCCTCCCTTCTCCACCAGTTTTTGCACAGGCAGATCTTTAATCCACGCCATCCTCAGAGGCTTAATCTGTCACTGATCATAACATTCAACAAGCGAAAAAGTAGGAAGACCACAGCTCCACGGGGGTCTAGACAAGCTAAACGCGAGAACCCAATCCCAAAGGGGCCATTTCATTCCTAGCCTTCTTCTGCATTCTGTTCTAGCTGCCACACTGCAGAGAAAGCGTATGACACGTTCTTTTCTGAGACCGGCAGAGCCCACCCTTTGAAGCTGGGCAGATCGCTCCCTCGGCTGCCCAGGAGACCCGTCCTCGCCACAGCCCACGAGCCCTGCCCAGCCTCCTCCACCCCTCCCCTGCTGCCCCAAGCTCTTAGCGGGGCTCCTGCCAGCCACACTTGCCTCCCTGCAGCTCCTGGAGCCCCAGGGCCTTTGCATGTTCTATCCGGGTCCCTCCACCGGGGGCGCTCTTCCCTCTCACACGGCTCACCCTCTTCTGTCACTCAGACCTCGGCTCAGAGGTCCTGCCTCCAAGAAGCCTCCCTGGCTTCCCTCTTCAGACATCCCACCCATTATGCCTGGGGCCCTCCCCACCTCGGCGAGCTCCAGGGCCCCTGACTCCGGGGTCACTTACTGTGGCTTGTGCACCAGACCCTGGCCCAGGAAGCTGGTGACGTGCCTGTTCCCCACCATGTCCCTAGTGCCCCTCACATGGGTACAAACAAGCCTGCAGGAATGCTTACTTCCTGCTGGTGGCAGTGGATTTAAGCAAATTGGCTGCCAACACTTAAAATCCCAGCCTTTACATTTTAAAAATATGGATTTTGGAGTGGGCATCTGGCTTCCCTGAAGACTTGGAGGTTACGATGCCCATGTCTCATTAGTTTCCGGCTCCGGCTCCGGCTCCGGCCAGTGTGGACCCTGGGAGGCTGCGGCGATGGCTTGAGGGGTTGAGTCCCTGCCACCCACTGGCCCCTGGCTCCAGCCCCTGGCCGTTGTGGGCATTTGAGGAGCAAACTGGGAGATGGGAGGTCTCTTGTCTCTTCTCTCTCTGTCCCTCCGACAATCTTTTTTTTTTTTTTTAAAGATTTATTTATTTATTTATTTGAAAGAGTTACACAGAAAGAGTGAGAGAGAGAGAGAGAGGTCTTTCATCCACTGGTTCACTCCCCAGTTGGCCACAACAGCTGCAGCTGCACTGATCCGAAGCCAGGAGCCAGGAGCCAGGAGCCAGGAGCCAGGAGCCTCCTCTGGGTCTCCCACATGGGTGCAGGGGCCCAAGGACTTGGGCCATCTTCTACTGCTTTCCCAGGCCATAGCAGAGAGCTGGATCAGAAGTGGAGCAGCTGGGACTCGAACCGGCGCCCATATGGGATGCTGGTACTGCAGGAGGTGGCTTTACCCGCTATGCCACAGTGCCGGCCCCTCTTTTAAAGTCTGGATTTATGGCCTTGGGGGTGGGATGTGGGCCGTCTGGCTGTGGTGGGCTCATGTCCCTGAAGCAGTTGGCAGGAGAGACTCAGGGGGCAGCACACCCCACCTTCCCGCCCGGCCCCTGCCGCCTTGTTTTCTAACAGCTGGTGAGAAAGGAGTTGATGCCATCAGTGGGACACGGACATGCGAGGCCGGACATACAGCAGCCCCTCAAAACAGAGCTGCTGCCGCGGCCACCCCAGGGACCTGCTGGGTGTCCCGCAGTAACTGTTGGCTTCCCGGCCCTCCCCCAGCCCCACCCGCCTCTGAGCCCAGGACCCTGGGGGACGGGGCGGTGCTGGCGATCTGCTGTGCTCAGAACAGCCCCCAAAGAGGGCAGAGGGCGGAGGGCTGAAAGAACAGGGCCGGAAAGAAATTTCCAACCTGAGCCTCCGCCGCACCCAAATGTCACCCAAAGCCACCATGGCCTTTGCACATGGTAAATGAGCCATCGCGGGGGCGGGGGCGGGGGCGGACCACGAAGGGCACTGGGGTCGACACATGCCTGCCACAGAGAGAGTCGGGAGGGGTAGGAGGGAGAGAGGGGGAGAGCAGAGGCCAGGGAGGCAGGTGAGCAGACCAGGGGAGGGGAGGGAGGAGAATTCATGGTCAAGGTCCTTTCCAGGCCCAAGGAGAGGCCTCACCAGGACAGCGGGGGGACAGGAAGAGCTGACAAAGCCGAAAGACAAATCTGAGAGTTGGACAGACCAAGAGCTGATTCTCAGGATGCAGTCATTCATTCTGCAGATGCCTAATGCATTCATTCATTCATTCCACTGCTGCGTTCCGGGCACTGGCCTAGCTCTCCCTCAGGCTAGGGTGATGGGCATCAAGACATCATGCCGCTGAGGGTGGGTGGGCAGGCCATTCGTGGGCAGCCAGGCGCCAGCTGGGAGAGGGTAATGTGGGCAGAGGGACCGCCTGTGTGCAGCATGGGAGGGCAGGGGCGGAGCATGTGAGTGTGCGGAGGGACGGCGGCAGCTGTCAGTCCTGGCCGGGCGGAGGCCCCCAGGGAGCCTGGCGCCACTCAGGTGCCAAGCAGAAGCCCTGGTTCACAGCCCTGCCCAGGCGGTGCCACGCTCATCTCTCACTGAAGAAAAAAGGAAGGAAGGAAGGAAAGAAGGGAGGGAGGAAAATTTGCATCAGAGCAGCGGGGGGTGGGGGGCAGATGCAGAATGACCCAAGGTCATGGTCTTTCCAGGAGGACTCAGTCCCAGCACTGCAGGGTGAGGGGGAGATACAGGCCAGCAGACTTGACCTCTGAGCTACAAAACAAACCCAAGGTAACCCCAGGATTTCTGGGGGGGCCCATACAGAGGCCCCCCTCCCATGTGGGCCCCGGAGATACTAACCAGCAGTGACACCTGTCACAGCCCAGGTGCAGAGCGAAGAGCAGGCTGTGGAAGCAGGCAGGCACCCACAGCCTGGGCCCGGGACCACAGGCTGCAGGGAGCGCGCCCTGGGGGCTTCGCTTCTCCATCTCTGACTCCAGGGCTTGCAGCCCGCCAGCCAGGGGCGATTCCTGGCTCTACTTACTAGCCATATGCCCTTGAACCAGTCAGGTAACCCCTGGGGGCCTCCATCCCCCCTTCCATGCGGTGGGAGAGTGACAGCCGCTACTACTGAAGTGCAGGGTAATTTTATGCACAGAAAGGACTTAGCCTAGCGCTGGACGCACCCTGCCCCGGCAGCAAGTAATCACTATTATTGTGGTTGTTATCCTCAGCGGCTAAGTGCAGCCCTGGGCCTGTGGATTCAGGGACAGGGGAGCTGATCCAGGCTTACAGGAGTGGCCCAGGTTGCTGCGGGAGAGTGGAGGGGACAGACAACGCAGAGGCCAAGGCTGGAGCGCAAGCCAAGGGCAGCTAGTGCAGTGAGGCCCTGGAGGAGATGGCGAAGACAGAAGACAGGAAACACAGACGGCCCCCGTTTCTCAACTGTCCAACCGAGCAAAGCCGCCTGCATTTGAAATCCTGCTGAAAACACTGGATTTGGCTCTTTTCTCCCACCCGCAGCACACGGCCTGACCCCCTCTCCATGCCGGCAGCAGTGGTGAATGCAACCGCCAGTCACCCAGCAGTCTCGGGGGAGACAGGCAGGTGCGGCAGCTACAGCGCGTTGGGTTGCTAAGCCAGAACGCGCGGCAGGTGCGTAGCTTAGGGCACTGAATGCGTTCTTTGTCTCCAGTGTTTTCTGCTTGCAATGGCATTAACAGGACGCGACCCCATCTGAAGTCCAAAGGGGGCAAGGGATAAAGCCAGGCCTGCTCCCGTGTCTCACCTGGGCTCGTGCAGCTGGCCTGGGCTTCCCCGGACCCGGGAGCCTTCTCCACACCTGGTGCCGCCGGCTGGTTCCTGGTGGGCGCCCTCCTGTCCGTGGCGCTGGCCGAACTCTCCAGGGAGCTGCTGCTGGAGCTTGGTGCCGTGGTCAGCAGGTGCTGCTGCTCGAGGCCAGGTGCACTGCGGGCCTTATCGGCAGGCAGGTGAGGCTGGGGGAGCAGGAGAGCGCGGTCAGCCCAGCCGCCCCTCCCCACCCCCTGCCGGCCCCTCTGCTGGCAGCTGAGTGGCTCATATTCAGAGACTGCCAACCCGGTGAAGGGAGAGGGGAGGCCACATTCACACCCTCGGTGCTGGGCAGCAGCTGGGCTCTGCAGCACGCCTCGGAGGGGACACTTGTGTGCAGGCCACCAGGCAGCAACTGCCCCTGCCATTGTCACTGAACTGAGCCTGGAAATGTGGATGGCAGGACAAAGAGAACCGGGCTGGGAGTCCAGAAACACTGCTGTGTGACCTCGGGCAAGCCACTTTCCCTCTCTGTGCCGCTTGTTTTGTCAGCAAACCCAGCAACTGAAAGCAGCCTACCTGATTTCAGAAGCCCTGGTTCAACCCAGGCATGGAGCCCCCCACCCCACCCCCACCCCCACCCCTGAGCTGAGCTGAGCTTTTCCCCAGCACAGGAGTTGTCCTTGGAGGGTGAGTCTGCCCCCTCTCTCCGGGGGCACTGGACAATATCTGGGGTCAGCTGTGGCTGTCACTACTTGGGTGGGGGGGCTGCTGGCACCCAGTGAACGGAGGCTGGCGACGTTTCTGAGCAGGACAAGCGCCCAGAACGATCGGCCATCTAACCCCAAACGCCCAGGGCTCGAGACGCCTGCTCTCATGGGACAGGGAGAGAAGGCTTTCTCTTAGAGAAAGTGGGCAGAGGAAAAGCAAACCGTGCCCTGCCTGTGGGGTGTGAGGGGACACCCAGCCACAGAGGCCGGCCGGGGTGCGAGACCCTGTCCCACTTCTCTTGTAGCAAGGAGTGCAGGCACGCGACACGGCCCTGGCCGAGGAGCCGCCAGCCATGTACCCAGGGCTCCCGCTGACACGGCCACTGTGGCCATTTGCTGCCTTCCTCCAGCCTCAGCCCTAGAGGTCATGTAATGGAGTGACGTCGGGGCCGGCGCTGTGGCATAGCGGGCAAAGCCACCGCCTGCAGTGCCGACATCCCATATGGGTGCCGGTTCTAGTCCCGGCTGCTCCACTTCCGATCCAGCTCTCTGCTGTGGCCTGGGAAAGCAGTGGAAGATGGCCCAAGTCCTGGGGCCCCTGCACCCGTGTGGGAGACTCTGAAGAAGCGCCCAGTTCCTGGCGTCGAATCAGCCATCTAGAGAGTGGACCAGCGGATGGAAGACCTCTCTCCCTCTCTCTCTTTCTCTCTCCCTCTCTCTCTCCCTCTCTCTCTGCCTCTCTGCAACTCTGCCTTTCATCCCCTCTGACACGGCGCCACAGCAAGAGAACAAAAGCCAACTGGGCAAAGGAGGCAGAGCCCGGGACCCCGTGGGCATCACAGGATCCATCCAGCCTGACCCAGAGCTGCCGGCACGGCCGCCTAGAATCGAGAAGTCCTCTTCTCTCAAGTCCCCTAAGTTTTCTGCCGCTCGCAGCCGAATGCCTTCCTGGCGGAGCAGGCACAAAACGCGCGGATACAGCGTCGCTGACCTGTTTCTCACCCAATTCCTTCCTACTCCCAGCTTTACAAACCGGAGCAAAGCTGAGCTGCTTTGATTGAAGTGGGGGTGGGACCTACACCCCGAACCCCAGGGCGACTTCCCAGGGTCCCCTGTGGAGCACCAGGGAACCCCAGAACCTGGGTGCAGACTGCAGTCCGTGAGGACGTGCTCCGAAGCAACACAGCAGAGACAGGGAGGGAATGCACAGCGGGGCGAGCTGGGCGGAGCCAGCCGGAGCCACGAGCGGTTTCAGGCATGCCCAAGTACGTGCTGCGAATGCCTGACCACGTGACACTCTGAGTCCTTGACCTCTAACACCACCAAGTCCCCTCCTCTCTCTCTCTCTCCTGGCATTTCACACCCACAGGTCCCTATGACTCACTCTTGGCCTCATGCTGCCACTGCCACCGCCACCCCACCCTGAACAGACCAACCTACAGCAGGGAGGAGCCCCGGGGCAGAGGGAGGAGGGGCGCGGGACACTCACCGCCTTGGCTTCTCTCTGCAGGCAGGGCAGCTTCCCTACAAAGGGGACAGAGGGGACAAGTCAGGGAGCGCGACTTCCCAGGGCAGGGCCCAAGCCCAGTCACGGAGTCGGCCCAGCCCGGGGCAAGCAATCGCCTTCCAGACAAGCCCTGTAGAAGCCGGCACCCAACTCCTGAGCTGGGCCACTACCCCCACCAATCGCTGGCCCCGCCCTTGCTCATACTGGGCCCTCTGCTTCGGGGGTCCTCTCTTCACTGCACACCCTCCACAGTCAGAGGCCACTGCTCCAGGAGGCCTGAGTGCCCCCGCCCCCGCCCCTGCTCCCTGGATGGGAATCCTGACCCTGACAACCCAACTCTGGGACAACCCCGACCACATCTTGCCGAGAACAGCTAAGCTGGCTGAAGTGCCTGCCACCCAGACTCGGTGCACACACCCAGGCCCATCACTGCCCGGCCCGACCGACAGGAGATGCCCGGCAAAGGGTCCCGAAGGAAAGCAGGAAGGAACGGGGTCTCACTTTTCTTCTGGGACAGGATGACAATGTTCACCAGTCCTATCATTAGCAGGCCCAAGACTGTCACACCCACAATCAGTCCTAGGAAAAAAAGGGGGGATCAGTTGAGATTCTGTCCTCAAAGCATCCAAGACCCTAAGTCAAAGCATCACATTATTATTATTATTATTATTATTATTATTATTATTATTTTGCCAGGCAGAGTTAGACAGTGAGAGTCCGCTGCCCTCCTGGGCCACAGCAGAGAGCTGGACTGGAAGAGGAGCAACCGGGACAGAATCCGGCGCCCCGACCGGGACTAGAACCCGGGGTGCCGGCACCGCAAGGCAGAGGATTAGCCTAGCGAGCCGCGGCGCCAGCCGAAGCATCACACTATTAACACATCACCCTGAGATGCACAGTCAAGGAGAACGGAGGGGCCCATTTCCAAACCCCCAATAGCTGGCTGACGGGCAGGATCTATGATACCGAAGTCCCGTATGTGCCTCGCCAGGCCCCAGCCATGATACTTGAGTGTGTGGCTAACACAGGACTTGTTGGTCCGTGAGCACTGACCAAGACCACCAAGCTGTATGAGGGGCAGTGCAAAGTCAGTCTGCAAACTTGGCAATGAAAGGTAGACACCGACATAGCCTGGGCCGAGATTCCAGCAAGAGCAGCAGGCACTTTATCCACGAGTGTGCAGGGACACATTGTCCAACTGAAGGGGTACCCCCAGGGGTAGATTGGCCCCTTGATTAGAGAGAGAGAGAGTGAGAGAGAGAGAGAGGGAGGGAGGGAGAGAGGGAGGGGGAAAGAGACTCAAACAGCTGCAAAAAGCAAACTGAAACACTGCAGGGGTCAGGTACGTCGGGCACGTAAAGTCGCTGACCCAAGGTGGCTGGGCTGTTGCTGGCGAGGGGCAGGCCCAGGCCACGGTGTCTTAGATCCTGGTGCCAAGCAAACATGTTAGTGGGCCAGACGGAGGCCAAGGGCCCCCCGTTTGAGACCTCTGGCCTGACACCGTCCTAACCCAGAAGGGAAGCCGGGAGGCGAGCTGGCTGAGCCCGCAGTCTTCTCAGGCCGGTGCACCAGAAATGCAGCCTGGAGAACATGTCCACCTGAGGCCAAACCCTGGCCCATCTCTGCTCATCCAGGAACTCGGGGCCAGCGCCAAGCCATGGGAGGAGCTGGTCTCACCACCACCTGTACCCCAGGACACAGCACAGGGTCTGGCCCCAGGGGACTCTGGGGAAGACAACGTGGGGTGGGGGTGGGGGGAGCCCTCTGTGACTTACCCACGGGAAGAGAGATGCTGTCTGTGCGGAGCCCCTCGGTCGGGGGGCTGGGGCCCATCGGGAGCAGGAAGGAGGGCTCTGTGCTGGGCCCCGGTGTTGGTCCCACGTGTTGGGATGTCATGGACGCTGGCCGGGGCGTGCGGGCTGCCCCCAGGGCCACCCTTGGGGGTGGGGACACAGATGTAGACTGCATTCGCACTGGAGTTGCCAGGGACGGCCGCCAAGTGACAGCTGCGGGGAGGAGGTGGCTTGGTCAGGTGACAAGGGCAGCAGTGGGGGAGGTGGAGGGGGCAGGGAGTGAGTCTATGTGCCAGGCCCTCTGTCAGGACTGCCCGCTACACCCCACCCAGTCTGGACTCCAAGGGCACAGCGCCTGCTCACTACGGTCAGAGACAGCGGGCCGGGCCCTGGACACAGCTGCCCGGGGACAGCACCCTCCCCCTGCCATCAGGGGCGCAGCCACTCATGTCCGGTGGGGCCTGCAGGTATCCGTGGATGAGGTCATGTCAGAGAATGTCCCTGGGGGCAGGGGGCGCAGACCACGTCCCACGCTGCCGTCCCTTCAAGGGAAAAGTGAGAGACTGAAGACAACTCGGCCGTGCGGGGGGACGGGTGAGCCTCGGCCCTGGAGCTGGGGGAGGTCTGCGGGGCCCGAGGACCCCTGCCTGCTCTGCTGCCCCTTAACATGCACACACACATGTACACGTGCACACACGCACACGCAACCACACTCCGGGGTTCTATGGATGCATCACCCAATGCTCCAGCAGCTTACGGCTTAGTCTGATCCCTCTTGGATCCCCACCCAGGCCCTAGTACACAGCAGGTGCCTAATCAGGAGTGCTAGAGGAAAGAACGGATGATAGGCGGGGGCGGTGGTTGGGCAGCAAGCACCTGGCCACTGCTGACAGTGTTCCCAGGCTGGGCTGACGGGCTGATGTCCACGAAGGAGAGCCCCAGGGGGTCCCCAGGGACCACTGCCACAGCCCCAGTACCTTGCTTGGCAACACCGGAGCCAGGGCGGGACTTGCGCAGTGGCGCACACAGCCGGCAGCCTTCCTGCCTCCCCAGCATGCAGTACCAGCCTGGCCCGCAGGTGCAGATCCGGTTCTGTTTCCTGGTGCAGGCTTGGATTTCTACTTGATCTGGGGGAGCGAGAGGACAGTCCAGGGTCATTCCTGCCTTTGCCAGGCCCACTCTGCCCTCCCAGCCAGCCCGGCACCCCCAGAGAGGGCCAGTGGACCCTCCCTAGCACAGCGCCATTGGGACACTGGCCAGGCTCCCTGGTTCCAACTCCATCGAGGCAGGGCGAGCTCAGGGGCTCTCCCAAGTGCCACTTCCTCCACCCTCCACTGGGCGCATTTCTCTCTCCACACCTGGGCCACTTGCTCAAGGGGCTTCGGTGAGAGAGAGCAGGAGATGCCACTCACAAGCTGGGAGGAGCTTTCCTCTTCCACCCCAGGCCCTCCCTGGGGCTTGAAACCCACCCGCCTGGGCTGAGCCCAGCCAGCGCGCAGCCAGAGGGGCCGGAGGGCACGGTGGCCAGGGGAGGATGCGGGGCCACTCACTGGCACTGCAGCGGGCACCACAGCTGAAGCACTTGGCGACCTGGTTCCACAGCTGCGTGTACGTGCTGTCCTCGCAGGGGGCGCACACGGTGTCTGAACTCTGGGTGCAGAAGGCTTTCACGTGTTGGCCTAGGGGAGCAAGGGCAAGCGGTCTCAGGGCAGTGGGCTCCTCCCCTGCGCCCCGGACTCTCCGAGGCCCAAAGCCCATGTAAGGAAGCTCTTGGGTGGAATTCTGCTACCTCCATCAACTCATCTCCGGTGCGGCACGTGCCAGCAGGCACTCCGTCTCTGAACCCCCTCTGTTTATTTATTTATTTATTTTTTTACAGGCAGAGTGGACAGTGAGAGAGAGACAGAGAGAAAGGTCTTCCTTTGCCGTTGGTTCAGCCTCCAATGGCCGCCGTGGCTGGCGCACCGAGCTGATCCGAAGCCAGAAGCCAGGTGCTTCTCCTGGTCTCCCATGGGGTGCAGGGTCCAAGCACTTGGGCCATCCTCCACTGCCTTCCCGGGCCACAGCAGAGAGCTGGCCCGGAAGAGGGGCAACCAGGACAGAATCCGGCACCCTGACCGGGACTAGAACCCGGTGTGCCGGCGCAGCTAGACGGAGGATTAGCCTATTGAGCCACGGCGCCGGCCAAACCCCCTCTGTTTATAAAGTATCATCCCCGCTATTCACTCCAGATGCCTAAAATCCCACCATGGCAGACCTGGTGCTGTCAGCCCATCACACATTAGTAAGAACCGGCTTGCCAAGTCTTCTCGATGTTGGTAAAGTTCTCCACATGGGACCAGGAGCCACACAGGGGGTGGGCACTGAGCATGTCTCCCTGGTACCCTGTCGGGGCTGAGGGCATGGAGGGGAGCCATGGCCGGGGTAGGGGAACACCTAGGCCAACATGTGTGTCGTTTACTCTCTGAGCCCTGTTCCTGCACACAGCGACGCTAACCTGGTGCCTTCCTAGAGACCCTGCACCTAACAGGGTCCCTCGTGAATGGCCCGGTTCCATGACATGGCTCTGGAAGGCGACAGGGACTCTCACTGCCTGCATCTCAAGCTCACGGCTCAACGCTCGCTCTCAGCGGCTTCCAGGCTCTTGCAGAATAAAATGTAAACTCCTCACCAAGGCCCCCGCTTCCCTCCTCATCCTCCTCTCCTGCCAGGCCCCTCCTTCACTCACTCTGGGCCATTCACACTGGCCCTGCTACTGCCCAAGCTCACCAAGCAGGTTCCTACCCCAGGGCCTTTGCTTTGGTTGTTACTTGGCTGCCATACTGTCCCCTGTATATCTGCATGATCTGCCCCCTCACCTGCAGCAGGGCCCTGCCCAAATGTCACCTCCTGGGGCTGGCACTGTGGCACAGCGGGTTAAGCCACTGCCTGCAGCGCCAGAATCCTACAGTTACTCCACTTCCCATCCAGCTCCCTGCTAATGAGCCTGGGAAAGCAGCAGAAGATGCCCCAAGTGCTTGGAGCCCTGCACCCATGAGAGAGACCCAGATTGAATTCCAGGGTCTGGTTCAGCCTGGCCTAGGCCCACCCCAGCCATTGTGGCCATCTGGGGAGTGAACCAGCAGATGGAAGATTCTCTCTCTCTCTCTCTCTCCTTCTCTCTGTAACTCTACCTCCCAAATACAAAATAAATAAATCTTAAAAATTTTTAAAGTGCTACTATAGGGGGTTCCAAGGGCCAGGGGGAGCTCAAATCTGGCCAGGCTTCCAGAAGGAGGGGGCCCCTAAGCTGGAATCTAGAGGATACGTAGGGGTTAAGCAGGGACACGTGTGAGGGCAGAGGGAACAGCCCGTGCAGAGGCCTAGAAGTAAGCAGGAGCGTGGGCTCCTATGTGGACCTAGAAGGAATTCGGTAAGAATCAAGGGCCAGGAGCCTCTCCCTCCCACCACTCGGACACTCCCCACCAGGGCCCCGCCCCCAGGGCCCCAGCACGGCCTCTTACCCGGGGGACACTTCCTGCAGCACCGCTGGGCCCTGGAGTCATAGTACTCTTCTAGCTGGCAGGACCCCCCAGGCTCTGAGGGGCTGGGGGTGACCGTGACCTGGAAGGGGGAAGGGAAGACAGCCATCAGCATGGCCCCTCAGGTGCAGCACACGGACGCCCAGGTCAGAGGCCTGCAGGCCCAGGCCCTCTCCCCGCCGGGCTCTACACACGCGGAACGTCTTCCTTCGCAGGGGGGGTAGAGGAAGAGAGACCCCTTGCCTGCTCTGGCTCCCCGGCCACCCCCTCAGTGTAGCACACTCTGGTCTGCAGGTGGAGGCTCTGAGCCAGTTGGCCAGGGCATTGGCTGGTTTTACACCTTCCCCACTGCTGTGGGGCTCCGGTCAAGGCACGCACAGGGCAGACTGGGGCCCGGAGCTGCAGGGACAGTGGCCTCAGACCAAGCTGCCCTCCAGCCTGGATGCCTCCCCTCACCTCCTGCACCCAGAAAACATCCCTCTGTCTTTGAGCCAAGTGCTGCTTCCTGCAGGAATCCCTTGTTGACTTCCCAGGCTGGTTTAGCTCCTCCCCCTCCTCTGAGCTTTCTGGGAAGCCCGGATCCAGCCCCTCTGACGAGCAAGGCATTGCTGCAAGGGCGGGCTCCCTCGTCCCTCCACTCACATGGGCACAGACACACACACGTGTGTGTGAACACACATACACACGTACACACACATCTCCTAGACCCTCAGCCCTGGCAGAGCTGGGCTCAGTGAACAGGTGTCAGATAACAATAACAGGTGCAGGCACTGTTTAAGGGCTTCGGTTACTGGGGGTGGGGCCTGCCGCTGCCCCACCAGATGCTGGCGGTGCCTGCAGGGGTCGGCTGATAGCAGCTCTCCGGCAAAAGCCATCCCTGGCCTCAGGACGGTCTCTGGCCCATTCGCTGGCCAGGGCCTCCCAGCTCCCACTGCGACCATGTCCCTCCTTGGCCCCTTCGCCTGCTCTGTCCTCTGAGAGTTATCCCCAGGGAACCCCTGCCCCAGGCTCTGCTTCTGGAAGACTCCACCTGAACCAGGTATCACCCCAGGGTCGACTTACAACAGCCCAGCCAAGAGGGGTTCCAGGACAGGTGGCTCACCAAGCCCCAGAGCCCGTGAGTGACAGAGGAAGATTTGAACCCAGGTCCTGTCCGACTCCATGGCTCATGATCTCAACCACTGTGCCACAGGCCACCAGAAGAAATGAGCCGAGTCATGAGTAGAGAGAGTTCAGGGTTGGTGGTCTGGGCCTTGGCAGGAGGGGGATAGCATTATTGGCCATCCCCGCAGGGCTGTGAGCACACTCAGCGCTGGTGCGTTTCCCTGGAAGGAACCATGGCGTGGGCGAGGAAGAGGTAGACACACACCCCGAGCCCCAGGAGCGAGAGGGCCAGCTCATGCCCCCTCATGGCCAGCTGCAATCACAGGGCTCTACAAGCTTAATTAAACCTGCATTGGACAGATAAGGGTGGGCAGAGTGAGAGAGACCTGGTTTGAAGCCCTCAGCGCCCGTCTTACCAGTGGTGTGGCCTCAGGCAAGTGCCTGACACGGGAGCTGGGGAGATGTTCAAACTATTAAGCCGCCAGCCACTAACAAGCCAATCAGAACCGACACGAGCCAGGGCACCGGCTACCAAATTCCTACTGTCGCGGGGAAGAGGGGGGCCCACTCTGTCTTCCCCTCCCCCTCTGCAGCACCACGTGGGAGGGGTGACCACCAGGGGCCTGAGACAGCTGGGCGCTGGCCTGCACCCTGTGGTGTGTGACAAAGCAGGCCTGGAAACACAGCTGTGTCCCCAGCTCGACCCAGCAAGCAGTGCCGACACGCTTGGCTTCACACGGCTGGAAGCTCAGGGGGTGCGGCCCACCCAGCTGGGGTGCCTGCTCTTCCCAACGCCTTCAGTGGGCCCCTCGGCCTGCAGCAGCCCTGGGCTACCTCTGACATTCCTGACAGCGGCACCCCGCCCCCGCCCCAGGATTCCACCCTGAGTGACTCATCCAGACCCAGAGGCCCGAGCTGCTTCCTCCCAGGTCCTGGAGACAGGACAGCCATGGGTGGGCTCACCGCCCCAGCACGGGGAGCCCCCAGAGGCAGGCCATGGGCTGGGGGCTCCTCTTAGCTGCTGTTTCCGGGCCTGGTGTGGAGTCAGTGCTCCGAGGTTGCTGACCCAAGCAGTGAACTTAGCTGCAGTGTCACTTCCTGGAAGGGCCGGCCCCAACTCAGGGCCAGAAAAGTTAAACTTGGATGCACCCATCAGCCTGGCTTGCCTTCGACTCACCCTCACCCTCACCCCAGGCTCAGGGCCTGACCCCAGGAGAATCAGCTCCGGTGAGTTTGGTGGCTGGGCAAGGGAGTGGAACCATTCTGCACAACGCAAAATCTAGAAAGTAACTTCAGGGGCTGGCGCTGTGGCGCAGCGGGTTAACGCCACGGCCTGCAGCACCGGCATCCCATATGGGCACTGGTTCAAGTCCCGGCTGCTCCTCTTCCGATCCAGCTCTCTGCTGTGGCCTGGGAAAGCAGTAGAAGATGGCCCAACCACGTGGGAGACCAGGAAGAAGCTCCTGGCTCCTGGCTTCAGATCGGCTTTATGGCTATTTGGAGAGTGAACAGTGGATGGAACACCTCTCTCTCTGTCTCTCTTTCTCCATAACTCTGCCTTTCAAATAAATAAAATAAATCTTAAAAAAAAAGTAACGTCAGTTCCCTCCTGGTGGGGAAGTCTGCATACACACTTGCACACATGTGCGCACACACACATGTATACACAATGAGTACTCCTGTGTGCATGTGTGCACACGCATGTATGCACATGCATACCTGCACCTGCATGCACACACATGCACAACATATGTACACAATACACACACAATGTGTGCTCCCGTGTGCATGTGTGCACACACAGATACACATGCATGTACACACATGCAAACAATTGTACCTGCACATGCATGCACAATGTGTGCTCCCGTGTGCATGTGTACACACACTCAGCACACAATGCTTACACATGCATGCACACACATGCACAATGTATGCAAACACATACACGCACATATTCATGCTTACACATGAATGCATGCACACCAAACACACCCATGTCAGCATGCACACATACATGCCACACACTCATGCACACAATACACAGGTATACCCACATGCACACACATGTTCATGCATGCACACATGTACACACAAACACATGAGACCGCACATGCATGTACACCCACGCACACACACAGATGTGTGATCCCAGTACTTTTCTTCTCACAGTTCAGCACACAGGCCGGCTTCCAGGCTCCCTGGTCAAGGCAGAGGGTGAGAGCTTAGGACCCCTCTCAGGGCTTCTCCCAGCGTGAGTGGGAGCGGCTTCCTGCCTGCATCCGGCTTCCACTCGCAGCCGGGGTGGGCCCAGGAGACTGCACAGTAAACTGAAAAAGTAGGAACTGGCCCCGTGGCTCTGGGGCTCTGTGGAACACGCTGACTCCCTGGTCCCGGGTAGAGCAGGATGAGCTGGGGGAAGTGGTGGAGGGGCACGTGCAAGAGGCCTGGGGAGCCCCGAAACCAGAGAAACGGTCCCTTCTGCAGCTCCCACTGCACACAGCATTCAACTGAGCAGCACTGCGCGGAGCCTGCCTCCCCCACACTGGGGGGACCACTCCCAGAAGCAGCTGCCGCCTCCCTTAGACTGCGTCCCCCAGGCAGAGGGGGCTGCACCTCCTGCCCTCACAGCCCCAGTTTGCCCCAGAACCCCATGCCCCGTGCTGGGGTTTGCCCCTCACCCATCAGGGGCCCGACAGCCACAGGGCCAGGGCAACTGCAGGCAGCAGCAGACAGCACGATGGGAAAGGGCCCTGTCTTGGCCTAGTGCAGGCTGCATCACTGCCCGTGGACAGCAGCTCCTGGCCGCCAGAGCAGGTGGCCGGGTGCCCGGAGCCTGCAGGCCCACTCGCCAGCAGCCGCCCGCGGCCTCGGGTCCAGGTTCTTTCCCCCTCTGGAGCTTGGCTGTGAAAAGCCTTCCCCAGGCTTCCTGTTGCTCCGGGAGCGCGCGGCTGGCGGCGGGGTCAGCCCTCTCTTGAGCAATCCCCAGGCCTGTTTATCCTCTTGGACAGAAAAAAAACACCAAACCACAGCCCCGTCATGGCTAAACCATGAGGAACAAAAATCCCCCCGGCCGTGCAGGACAAAAGGTCACTCCCTTCCAGCCACATTCGTTCCCCAAGCAGAGGCTGCTCCTGAACTCCAGCCCAGGGGCCTGGGCCCGAGTCCCTGCAGGGGTCACAAGGGCCGGGGGCCTCAGAGGTCCCCAGAGCATGGCAAGAGGCCCCTGGGAAGCCCAGGGTGCTGGAAGCCTCTGGTTCTTTGCTTTGCACAGCTGGGTACTGGCTCTGCAGCACGGAGCAAAGGGAAGTGCCTGGCCGGGAGAGGCTGGTGTGCTAACTGGCACAACACAGGCGCACACGTGAGCAGCAGTCAGGGCTCAGGGGGAGGGAAAATTGGAGCGTGGGGAGACTGGGAGACCGTGTCCATGTCTGGGATGCCCCATGCATGGTGCAGAAGGTCAGGGTGGCTGGGCCAGGGTTGGCCAGAGCAAGGAGTGGGAAGCAGGATATGAGGAGTCAGAGCTCCGTAGACAGCCTGGTCCACGCAGGCGTCGGCAATCGTGGCTTACGCACTTTGCAGGCTCCAAGTCCCCACGCCGTGCTACCACCACCCCAGTGTACGGAGGGGCAGGCCTCCTCCTCCTGCCCTCGGCCCGGCTGCCCCCTCGCTGGCACCAGGCTGCCTCCCCGAGCCCTGCGAGCCTGGATCTCAGGCCCCAGGCCATTCTACCTCCATCCCCACACCCAAGCACCTGCTGTGGGCTGTACCAGCTTTTCCGTGCCTCGGTTTCCCCCCTATAAAATGACAGCATAGGCCTGCTTGTGCTCTAAGTCCACAGACCAAAGGACTAGCTCTGGGTTCTTTTTTTTTTTTTTTAATTAAATGTTCTTCAATTTCTTATCTTTATTTTATTTATTTGATAGGCAGAGTGACAGAGAAAGACTGAGTCAGGGCGATCATCCACTCGTCCATGCC